AAACTACCGCTGCCAACAATTAACACAAGTAATGACATTATTATCAGTTTGGAAGGATAGTTTTCAGTCAAACTGTCTTAATAGAGAGTAAGAACTTACCAATGGCTATGGTGCCGTTTGTTGGAGTTGTGGTGTCAAAGCTGCAATAAAATGGCAGCAAATGAAAAGAAGGGAGAGCTGCACAAGTTGCAGCAAAATGAAAAAGAAAAAAAGAGAGCTGCACCAACAGCACGGTAGCAGCAAAGGGCAGCAAGCTAAGCTGCAGAATGTTGATGAAAGGAAGCTGAAATGAACAGCAGATGAAACGCAAATGAAATGCAAATGCATCTGAAATGAAAGGTTACAGAGCTGCCAAGGGACCAAGCATGCTGCAGAGCTGCCAAAGGACGCAGCAATGTGACAGAAATGGCTGTTACATATTTCAAATTTCAAATGTATTTTATTGTTGTTTTTTAATGTGAAATAGTTATTTGATTTTTGAATTTTAAATTGAGTTTGTATTCTCCTATAAATAGAAGTAGGAGAAGTAAAAGGAATGAAAAATATTGTGTTGAAGTCATATACTTCTCTCCATTTTATGTGTTCTGCTCTTCATCTTCTTCCTACCGATTCTCTCCATTTTTCTTTGATAAAAAATATGAACACCGTTCAACATCTGGGTGAAGTAGCCAAACGTCATTTGACCAAACTTGGTCGGTCATAGGGTGTGCTGGCGGTGAGCGTAGTCCTCCTGGGCCGCAACATTTTACCTCCAGATCGGAGCTCTTGTGCTCGCCGAGGTGCTGAAAGCGCGGCCATGGAGAATCAAGGAAACAGAGAAATGGAGAGGGGAGGACTAGTTACCAGAGTTCGGCGATTTATGGTGTTCCCCTTTTTTTTTTTTTCTAAAGCATATTTTTGGTTTGCGTTCATTTTTTTTGGCCATGGTATATTTTTGTTAATTCTTTAGATTACTACTATTATTTTTTTTTATGGTAGGTTACACAATTAAAATCAACCATTTCTCATTTTTTAAATTAATAAATCACTTATTTTACTTGTATGTATGTTATTAAAATTTAAAATTTCTTATTTTTTATAAAAAAAAATTACTACTAAATTTTTTATTTAGCAATTACTCCTATTTTAGAATGAAAAATTAGAACTAGTAATTAGGATGGAATTATGTAATGGATAAAAGTATTTAAATTATTGTCTTTGAAATTTGTGTCCACAAGAAATGACTGCCTCACATTGACCCTATATAATAAGAAAATTATTATAATTAATCAAATTATTTTGTTAGTTAATGAATTAATTTAATTAATTTAAATAAAATTATTTTCTTTTTTTTTTTTAAGCCAAATATGCTATGAGGCTATTTAAACCAATTATGACAATTCTTTAGCAGTTTAGTATCCTTTTTTAAAGTTCTAATCTATAATGGCTATTGTTTTGCATTTCTTGTTCATCCAAAATTTATTAATTTAGCACAACTTAACTTAAAGATTTATCATTGTCAACTATCTAACTTACTCAATAGTAATTTCTCTTCACCAAAATAAAAGATTCAAAGTTGAGGTTACATGACTTACTGATACGATGAGTTAATATCTAGAAGAGGGTTATCTTCTATTCTTAAAGTTTCATTGTTAAAGATAAGATTTGCCTTCCCCTTTCCAGTTTTCCTTACGGATTTCAAGCTATGTGCTTTTGCAGCAGAAAAAAGTCTGTCCCCTCAGGCATGGCCTTCATATCCTCAAACCATTTAGTGCAAATAATAGAACTCCAACAATATTCTCACACCAAGAGATAACCAAATTCCTTCTTTGTACAAAATTGCATCAGACATAAACCCTGGAATCCTTCTAGAATTGTTGCTGCATTCAGTACCTGGAAGATCTGCGGCTTCCAATTTCTTAGCTCAAATTCTATGAATGTCTTTGTAAACAAAAGTACTGTTGGCAACTGCACCTAGTTTCTGTCTAGTGTTTTCAGGCCTTTACCTTTTCTTAGTTGTGGTAAATTGACGAAAAGAATCTACCTTGGTTCCTTTTACGATCGAATGAAATTTAAAATTCTGTTAGCTAAACAGAAGACGAGAAACTTTATAATAACAAAAATCAAGACAAAACATACACTTTCTGGAAACTGGATTTTAGTCTTGTTAACTAATGGCCACTTGTATTTCATACTTGGCCATGATTGAAGTGGTCTCTTTATACCAGTAAGAAGCGGATTCTTCACTTGAGGAGGAACTCAAACCAGTGGCAGCATTTGGTGGCTTGACTGCATTTGTCCCTAACGATGAGAACAGTAAATGAGTGGGTTTAGGAGGTGGTATGATCTCCACTCCTCCTTCCAGCATCTTCACCACGGCACTCATTGGTGGCCTAGCTCCTGGTGAGTCTTGAACACACCACAATGCCACTAATGACATTCTCTCTGCCTTTTCCATATCCTCCTTTTTAATCCCATAACTTTTTATTAGTTCAGCCAATTCACCCTTCTGGTACTTATCCAACACAACCTTCGGAAACCATTCTAGGCTTTCAGAGGAACTACTAACCTTGTTTTTCCTCATCCCAACTATCTCAAACAACAACATTCCAAAACTATACACATCACATTTGTAAGTTATGGGATGATTTCTTAGAAAAAACTCTGGGGCAGAATAACCAAGGGTTCCCTTGAATCCGGTAACTGAATCATGAGTACTGTCCCTGTTGCAAAGCTTTGCAAGCCCAAAATCTGCAACTTTAGGGAGGAATTTCGCATCAAGTAGAATATTGGCTGGCTTTATATCATAGTGAATAATTCTCTGTTGACAGTCTTGATGCAAATAAGCAATTCCTTTGGCTATGCCCACCGCTATTACATGTAATTTTTCCCACTCAATCATCTCCTTCTTCCCAAACAAGTAATTATCAAGAGATCCATTTTCCATGAATTCATATACAAGCGCACTTGTATTTCCATCATAGCACAAACCATAAAGTCTAACCAAATTAATGTGGTGTGTTCTTCCAATTGTGCCTATCTCTGCCATGAACTGCTTTTTTGCTGCTCCCTCGTATTTTTCCTTGAGCAACTTCACTGCAATCTTGACTCCATTTGGAAACTGCCCTTCATAAACATCCCCATATGCTCCAGACCCCAGCCTTTTCGAGTAATTTCTTGTAAAGTCATCCAGCTGCTGAGCAGTCTATCTCACCGGCTTCTCCTTGTCCCACTCTTGCAGAAATTTCTCCATTGTGGATGCATCAAAGGCTGCCGTGTCAATGGCAAGTCCCTGCAGCTTAACAACTGATTCAACATGCCCCTTGAGTGTAAGCTCCCTCGGCCTGCAAAAATCACCTTTTTTAAGTAACCACACATATTCCTTGAGAGATAGAAGGCAAGGATCTTCCAGTTAAAGTTATAAGAAAATATATTCCCATTCTCGAATCAGATTCCTAAAGATTCCATTAGAAACAAAAATGCTAAATTCATGAGTTTTTCTTCTTTGGTTTCAATGCACATTGTGCTAATTTTCCTCTGTGACATAGTTCACTTACCTGATAACCTCAGCCCGGTGTTTAGCCTCCTCTGCAATCTCTGAGAGTTCCCTATAACTGTTCTTGTCACTGAAAAGGTTTTTTTGTAGTGAAGGTGGTCTGTAATGGAAGTTAGAATAGCAGATATGAAATTAGAAGACAACAGCACATAACAGGAACAGAGAAACTGAAATCTCAGTAAAGATGTTATGTGAAGTTGACAATATATAGTAAAACCAAAATAGCTCTTCGTGTTAAGTATCATAGAGAATAATATACCTTGTTCCGTAAAAGTGTATCCCTCACACTACGACCAAGGAGATACTGAATGGCAAACTTGAGAATATCGAGAGGGATATAAGTCACAACACTATAAAGCCAGATCACTCCAGCCCATCTCCAGCCAATACCTTTTATTTTAGCAAAATCCCAATTTGCATAGACTGCAATCAGTGTTGCTACCTGACAAGTGGAGAATTGTTGACAATAGCATTTCAGTATTTTATGTGTTAATAAAGAAGAAAAGAGAGACAAGAAATAAAATAAAAACCATAACAAATTGGATATTAAAGGATTTTACTAAGAAAATTTCAAATTGGATATTGGAGGATTTTACCAAGAAAATTTCAGACCAGGAATCTCACGTCAGCCTCAGAAAAGAATAACAGAAAAGGGGATGGAGAAGTTGCAGAAACCTCATAACCAAATAATAGTTCCAAAAAACTGGAAGGGCTATGGATATGAAGTCTTACCAGCTGAGTGACTATCAAAGCAATGACTAACAGAAGTCCGGGGCGTTCAACATAGGACCAGGTTTGGGATCGTGTCACGAAAATAAGGGCCTGGCTCACAATACTCACTTGGAGGTATAAAGCCGCCATCATCTTTGACTGATCAATGCCATCAGGACTATACAACTGGCGCAGAGGAATTACATCAAACTTGTCCTGTAATATTGGAAAAGTTAAGAAATACCATGAGAAATGTCACCAAAATATGAAGAGAAGATTGCAAAAGTATACTTACAGAGAAGAAGTTGGTGTATCTTATAGCCCAGAAAAATACTAGAGTCATGTATGCCAAGTATCCTCCGAGCACAATGCCAGTAGTGAAAATCTCTCTCAGCTTCCAGTTGTCAGGCTGTGGAGATGGCTTCACTCTGTCTCTTGATATTGTCATGATTGTCCCTACAGACATAGTGATGCAGGACATTAGATTCATGACTATTCAGGGTCAGTCAAATCTGGCTTGTACCAAATGAGACTAGAGACAGAACCATATTATTTACACTGAGATTTAATAAAGAATGTCTACCGTCGTTTAGTATGGCAATAATTAAGACCATAAAAGGAGCAAAGTCAAACTTCCACACCAAGGCAATAATCAGGAAACTAAACTGCCAATGTAAAAACAAACACTACTGCAGGAATGGGATATCCGGACCAAAATATCGGTCCGGATATATTACCAATCGGTCTGAATATATATATACGGACCGATATTGGTCCTTATAGTTGATCTGAAAAAACTTGGTACGAATAAGTATAATATACAGACCGACGTATAATCGGTCCGTATATATACTATTCGGACCGAACTCGGTCCGGATATTTTAGTAAGAAATATAAATAATTATTGAGAAATTGAAATAAGCGGACCGAAATTGGTCCCAAAAAATAATATAATAAAATAATAAAATATATATGAACCGACAACGGTCTGTAAATGTGGCGGGAAGAGGCATCGCAAATATATACGGACCGGGATCGGTCCGAATATTGAGGACCCAGCTGCAACTTTTAAAACTTGCAACTATATCCAGACCGTTTCCGGTCTGAATATATTGGACTTGCCTGCAACTTTTAAAAGTTCCGTCTCCCAACCGGCGCCATTCTCAAACTATATCCAAACCGTTTTCGGTCCGAATATTATGGACTTGCATGTAACTTTTAAAAGTTTCGTCTCCCAACCGGCGCTATTCTCAAAATATATCCAGACCGGTTTCGGTCTGAATATTCTGGACTTGCATGTAACTTTTAAAAGTTCCGTCTCCCAACAGGCGTTATTCTATAAATATATCCAGACCGGTTTCGGTCCGAATATTGTGGACTTGCTTGTAACTTTTAAAAGTTCCGTCTCCCAACAGGCGTCATTCTATAAATATATCCAGACCGTTTTCGGTCCGAAAATATCTTTGAAGAAAAAAAAAAATAAAAACAGTAAAAAATAAAAAAAACAGATTTATTTTATTTAATAATTACACAATATTACCAAATAATACAA